TGTTGTTGTTGATGTAGAGGGCTTTTTGGTGCATCGTATGATGCTTAGCAGCCTTCCGGTTTCTACTGAGTAGATGCCAGTGGCTAGCACCACTCCCCCACCCAGATGTGAAACCAAATATGCCTCCAGACATTTCCAAATGTCACCCCAGGGACAAAGTTGCCCTAGGTTGAGAACCACTGGTTTGAACTATTCCCCCACATCATTTTCAACGCTCAACCTTAGAATTAACCCAGTAAACATATGCATGCATATAGACTTTACACTATACAAAGCACTTTACATGGTTTCATCTCAATAAAATAATCGGAAGAGAAAGGTACTGTTATATTTAACATATGAGGGACCAAGTTGAAAAAGGCAAAATGCTTTGTCCATATCACAGGTGAGTAAATGGCAGGGAGAGAACCCAATCTAAGTCCTCTCACTCCAGATACATAAATATTGATGTGCTGATTGAGGACCTCCTATGTGATAGGCACTGTGCTAGTTATAGAGGATGCAAAGATAAAAGATCCGGCTCCTGTTCTCAGGAGACTCACAGCCTAGTGGATGAAAGAAGTAAATTAACATAAAATCACTTTGGAGGTAATTAAATGCTCGGATAGAAGGGCTTATAGGGCTTCAGAGGGAGGGACTTCATCCACAGAACTATCGGAAAAGCGGCAGAAACACTACAGTAGAAAGGAAGGAATGATAGGAAGCAATGGAACAAAAAAGAATGTTGAATTTTATTTCTGAGTCACCACAGGAAAAATTTTTAAAAAGAACCGAAATATAGAGAACTGCAGAGCAGATCAAGAGGAAAGAAAAGAATAATATCCTGGCTGTGCGAGGGAAGAATGCTGCTGAGCCCTGAACATGCTAACCCATCACTTCATAGCTATTCTACAACGTTGATTCAAATAAATCTCATTGAACTCAAAGGAGAAATTCTACTACAGAAAACCATTAAGCAAAATTCGTTTGAAAAGCTCAAACTGTATTCCTCTGGAGCAGAAAAATAAAAAGCAAATGAGTAAGAATAGGCTTAAAGAAGGACATCTTTCATATAAATAACAAGCAATATCATTTCTGAAAATGCAACCTTCTGGAAGCTCCCTGGGCAGTTTGTTTACCCAGGTTTGAACTGTGGTCACTTGGAATAAACTTGTTTTACCTTTTGATTTGACTATGTCTTAGTAATTAAATTTCTCAATTATTTTTCAGTGTCAAAAAGACTTTTTTAAATGTGGTGGTTCATTAGCGTACGTGTGATTCTCATCCATGTATGATGTAATGATGGAGCCAATTAAAACATAACCCGCTACATAAAGCACACTAGTTGGACTTTGTTCTTTAAACTCCCACTCCTGATACTGCAGATTGTTATTGAGTAAAACATGTTTTAAATTCCTTGTTTGGAAACCAGAGCGGGTGCAAAGATTGTTTTCTCAAACAGAAGCACCCAGGCCTCAGTGTGCTTTACTGTTTCATGTGAATCACTTCACTTCTCTCTCAGCCTCTACTCATGGCAAGCTGTTCCTTCACAACCAGCAAATAGTGATTCATCTCTTTTCTGTCCCTCTGTCATCTCCCCAATGCAGGCTCATGCTACCCCCTAGGCACGTCCTGCCTGTCACCTAGTTTGTAATCTTACTTTTTTTTTATATTGTCCTGATTAAACCCTTACTTTTGCATCCAACTTTTCCTGATCCGAGGTGTCAAAATTAGTCCCCGGTTTCCTCTCTTGGCACTTAGAGCATTCCTGGTGTTGGCTGTGGGCAACAGTTCCACCCCGTGATGCACCCTCTCCCCAATTTCACCACTTGGCCCGGCAAAGAGCATATCTGTTAGGAGGAGCAGCACCTGTAAACTCGATTTGACACATCTCTCAAGAGTAAAACTGGAAAAATCTATGGGCAGGAAGGGAAGTTTAAACAGAGGTGGGGAGTTTGGGGGAATAGCCGGGGAGAACATTTCAGGCTCTCTGTGACTTGGGGTAGGGAGAAGGTAGAGGTATGTGGCACAAGAGGGACAACCTCCTCCAGGTAGAATCCCCTATGGGCTGGCCCATGGTGCCAGGGAGGCCCCAGGAGACAGGCTCGCTTGCATCCAGAGAAGGGAAACCTTGGCCTATGGGAAGGGAGTGGGAAAGAAGGGGCTAAGCTCACAGATGTAAGGACTGGAAACTGCAACCTCTATGTGGGAAGAGAGGAGAAGAGGGAGCACCAGGAGCAGGAAAAAAGATGCAGGGGGTTAAGAGGTACAAACTTCCAGATATAAAATAAGTCACAAGGATGGAATGGACAGCGCAGGGAATATAGTCAATAGTATCGCGATGATTTTGTACAGTGAGAGATGGGGACTAGACTTACTGCGGCGATCACTTTGTAAGGTACATAAATGTGGAATCACTATGTTGTACACCTGAAGCCAATACAATATTGGATGTCAACTAAAATTTTAAAATGAATAAAATTTTAAAAAGTACCTTGGGCAGGCAAAAGGGGCTCAGTGAGCAATGAAGTCTCCGGCAGAACCAGGCCTTAGAGCCTGAAAGGTCTTTTTTAATGTCCTTGTTAGGAACAGAGCCTGGGGTAGAAATCTCAGCTCTGCCATTGTGCAATGTTGGAAATTTTACTTATATTCGTTGAGCCTCTTTAGGTCTATACCACAGAAGATTCTGTGAACATCTAATGAAATAAAACATAATGAAATTGCACAATGCCTGGCACAGAGCAGTGCTTAATAAATGATCATGAGCTCCTCCTGTCTCTCGAAATGACAGGGGCAGATGGCTGTGGGGTGGTATAGGACAGCTTGACTGGTGGATAAAAGCACAGACTTAGAGTCAGATAAAATTAGATTCAAATTTAGCTTGGTTTAGACCTAGACGAGATTCAGACCTGCCCCTTAGAAATGTGCTATCTTGATCATGCTAGGTAATCTTTATGGGCCCTCCGTTTTCTCATTTTAAAAAGAGGTTTAATAAAATATATCTCAAAGAGGCCTTGTAAGGATTTAAGTAAGGATGAGGCATACTCTATGTGTAGCTCGTAGCGTAATTCCTGGCATAGACTAAGTCTAGTAAATTCTAGCCAGGACTCCAATAATTTGGGGGGCTTTCTGTCCTTGACTGAGATTTCTCAGGCTGCTTCTCTATAAAACAGTGTCGTTCCACAGACAGATATTGCATTTTTACTATGGGCAAGGCACTGAGCTAGACACTGAAGGGATTCAAAGAAGAATAACATATACTGCCTATCTTCAAAGTGTTCAGTCTGATGGGGCAAGCAGACACATACATATTAGCAGAAAAAAGGTCCAGTTGCAAAATGGGGGAAGAAGGTGTTGATTCTTATTGTAGAGATCCACAGGTCCCCAGAAGACTGAATCTTGAAGGATGAACAGCATATCAAAGGCAGAGAATTGGAGGAAGGCTGGCTGCCTTAGGGAGATGGAATGCCTGTTCAGAAATACTAGGTATGAGAATGCTTGATGTGTTTGGAGAATAACTAATTTGGAGCTTGTGTGAATGGGGTGTGTGTGTGTGTGTGTGTGTGTGTGTGTGTGTGTGTGTTTTGCAGGTTGCTATAAATAATTATATACTTGATCCTTGTTTTTGGTTTTTCTTTCTTAAATGATGAGAACTATTTCTTATTCAATTATATATTTTACACAACCCCTCATAAGGTCATGCACAAGGTAAGCTTCAGTGAAATTAATTAAATTGAAGATGCTTTCTCATTAGACTTTAATTTCCCAAGTATCTCAAGGCTTATTGCATTTTTTTGCATGATATGTTTATTTCTTAACACCATTCCAATTAAAATGTTTAGGTGTCGCTGCTGACAGTGTTTCAGAAATAATGATAGCATGAATTTTTAAGTTTTCATAGCAATTTGCTTTAAATAATTCAGCCTTCATATCAGGCTCTGTAAAACTAACAATTTAGCCACCACAGGTGGCTTTTGATTCTGGCTGTTAATGATGAGGTTTCCTTCTGCCCAGGAACAGGAAAAAAGAAAAGCCTCCTCTGCCTCTGAGTGAAAGGACCTGGAGGGAGACATCTGGAGAAGGGGTAATTTCCTCACATAGGAGGCAGCTGGTCCAGAGATGCACGAAGGCTACCACAGGAATGAACGAAAGACTGGAGACCAATGTCCGCATCAAATGAACTCAGCTGGATTATTCGATTCTGACCTACACTGAGAGGAAGAGGAAGAGGGAGGAAGAATAGAAAGGAGGGGCAGGGTACAATGATGCTGTTTCCGGTGTTGCACAGGCAAGAACACACTTCAGAATCAGGGGTATTGCTGGAGGGACCCAGTCCTCAAATGTAGTTGACATCAATTTTGTTTCAGTAATAACATAAGTAAGTAAAAAGAGAATTATGAGATTCACAGGATTATTAATTCAATGTTCACTTTGTATTACTCATGGAATATTGTATTGTCAGCTGACCTTGAATTCTATCTAGCTTGCTCTGAAATCATTGCTTTTTCCTCACTACTGGATGGTTCCCTTGATTCCATGCTCTCGTTCAGCTACCACCATGTTTCTTTTCTTCCCCTATTTACAGAAAAATAATTTACACAAGCTCTTTATACTCAATTCTTCCACTGTACTTCTCCATGCTCTGTTGTAAGGTTAACAGTAATCGTCCCAGGATTAGTCAACTGGTCAACCCTGAGCTCTCACCTCACTGGACCTCTCCACGTGTGCATGGACGAGCCCTCCTCATGGACACATTCTGTGCTCTTCCTACTGGGCCATCACTCTCAGCTTCTCCTTCTTCTTTCGTTGCTCTTTCTCAAACGCCTTTTGTGATTCTCCATCATCCTTGCTACCACGATATGGTGGTGTTCCTCAGGGATCCCGGTTTTCTTCTTTATCTGCATTACTCTCTGGGTGAAATCATCCAGTCTTACCGTTTTATATATTGTCCGTATTTTATTGGCTGTCAAATGTTCACCTCTGAGTTGTATTCTGAGCTCCAGACTTTTATATCCACTCACCTTCTTCCCATGGCCAAAACCAAAGTCTCAATTCCCACCCCAGAATTTGCTCTTCCAAAGTTTTCACCATCTCAGATGTGAACATATCCAGGTCCCAAACCTGGAAGCCATCTTTGACTCCATTCTTTCTCTCACTCTCTACATTAAATCCACCAGCCATTACCTTCACTCAATATTTTAAAAATGTTTACTAAGTGCCTGTCATGTGTCTGTTACAGTTCTGGAAACTGCAGATACAAAAGAGAATAAAGCAGACAAAAACCCTGCCCTCTAATTCTGGTGACTTTAAAATATTCAAGCCACTTTTCATATACTACACATCACCTCCAATACCACCCTAGACGAAACCACCCAAATGTCCTTGAATTTTTGCCATAGCCTCATGCTTCCACGGTTGTCTCCCATAGTCTCTTCTCTCCATACCACTCCAAGCGTTTATGTAAAAATGAAAATCAGATGCCTTTTCTCTGCTTATAACCCTGCAATGGCCCCTCATTTTACACAGAACAAAATCCATAGTCTGTAAACAAAACCCACGAGGCTCTGTATGATCTGGGCCCTGCTATTATGCTGACCTCCCCTCTAGCACCTCCCTGTTCTCCCCCCTTTGCTCCAGTCACATTAACCTCCTTGCTCTTCTCCAACATAAACAGCCCACAAGGCATGACCTTAATTCTTGCTGCTTAACATACCTCTACACTTCAGGTCCTCCTTAAAATACCACCTTACTGAGGAGGCCTTCCCTGATCTTTAATGTAAAATAGCATCCATGCCTTTATCACCCTCTATTCCCCTTACCCTGTTTTAAGTCTGTAGGTCTGTATGCACGTCTTGGCAGTCTCTTCCATCCAGAATGTTTTGAAAGCTAAGACTTTGTTGAGCACACTGCTATATACCTCCATTTCCTAGAGCAGTGCCTGGAAAGTATTATGCACTCGATAAATATTCATGTAATTATCATCAATCCTAGGTTTCTATAATTTGTTAATTTACAAGTGTATTAGAAAGTCCCTTTTGATCACGGGTCTGCATTTGTGGCCAGACAACACTAGATAAGTACACCATTTATCGCTCAGGAACAGGGAAACTCAGCTTCCCTGTGACCTCATTAACATTCTGTTCTATCCAAGTTCATTGTAAACTGTCAAGTCTAAAATTAAGTGTCCCATCTCTTTGTTGTGACTAGTTTTCCATATCTGCTAAACTATTAAATAGAGAACCTGCTGTAAATAGGTAGCTACAAAGCCCCTGGGAGGTGGGACAAGTAATTAGCATTCAGTGGTTTATGGCTCTTGATGTCAAATGAATCACCTTGAAATTAAACATGTGGATAAACAATGCAGTCACATGAACTATGTATAAGGGAAATAAATATATGCACTCTGATCCCTAGATAGTGAATTATGTAAGATGCTATTTTCATCTATCATGAAGGCTAGCTCAGTTGAGAAATTATAGTTAAAAAGAGTCCATATGCAGGAATTCTCAGAAAAAAATAATAACTTGGAGGCCTTGAAAGGAATAGTTTTAAATAAAAGACAGGGTATCCAAGCAACAAGAGCACCAGTCTCCTGCTTAGCTGCCACTATCTGACCCCCTGCCACCTGAGCTCCTACCATGTGGAATGTTTTTCATTCTGCATCATTTTAGCTCTGAATCTTCACACGTACTTTCTTTCACATGCCTGGTCTGTTCTTTCTCTCTAACCCATACATGGCAAATTCTGCCTGTGAGACCCACGTCCAATACCACCTTCTTGGTAAACTCTTTTCTGAATCCTTTGATAGATTTAGCAGCCTTTTCTCCTCTGTGGTCACACCAGTTTGCATATGTGTCTACTACACACTCCCCCTGCATTAATTTGCTTGCAGCTTTACCTCATCTTAACTCTGTCAGCTCCTTGAGAATAAGAAATACTTTTGTTATCGTTGTATCTCCAGCATCATCGTATCTCCATTGTCTAATGGGTTAGACAATCTCTAACCCATTGTCTTCTTATAGTGAAGTGTCTTCCATAACTTTGTTGAAATTAAGAAAATAGCCTTAAGTATTATGCCCTCTCTAAAGTGTTTTTTCACCTTCCAAAGATCCTCATAGAATCTCATATAATGCAAACTTGTTTATATGAAACAGGATACTTCAGAATAATCTCTTTTCCTATCTCAGACACACAGACTACTGTACTATAACTTTTTTAAAAATAGTTTTCATGCTTTCTTAAACAACTTGTTACAAAAAAATCAATAATATAACGCCTTTTCATCTCATTTTTCTGCTGAGGAGCCCAAAACACCATGTTGGGATCAATTCAGTCATCCTCATAAGATTCTCCATTAAGGAAATGGTTATTTTCAGTTTGTTTTCTATCTCCTATTGGATTTATAGATGAGAGAACTAAAGCACAGACTGGTAGAATGGCTCATTCAGTTATTCACTAAGGTATAGCTACAAAATAATAGCTTTTAGAACTTCATTCCTAGTTTTTATACTTCTCTTGGTAATATTTAGGTATTACAAAATTTTAAATTCCAGAACTGAGTGTTCATTAATTGTTTCTCAAATACCTTAGAAATAATCCCTCCCTTCTTTTTTTTTCCCGAATAGACTGGTATGTTTCTTTTTCCTTTTTTAACCACAATTTTGCTTTGCATTATTATTCTGCTTTGTATTATTATTATTGACCAAATCCTGCTTTGCATTATTATTATTATTACTAGATTTTTCAGTGCTTATTTCTCTATCTGGCCTTATTGTTAGAGGTTTATTGACTCTGTCCCTGGAAAACAGTGCTTTGAGGACGACTGTCATTCATTTTTGTCAACTCCTAATCCTACATGTTTTACCCTTGTAAATGCTACCTGTGGGTGAGACCATCTTGGATACTTATGGATCTTGATGAGACAGAAATTTCAGGACATTAAAATAAAAACCAAAGGCTCATCCTTTCTTTTTATTCTCCATTAACCACAATACAAATACTCCACAGCCGCTGCTTACAATGTTTTCAGCCCACTACCGCAGTTAACATCTTCAGTGCTTGTATTCTTAAACACCTCAGGGTGGGGGAAGCTGTCTTACAAAAAAATAGAGTTATTTTGTCCTCAAGCTGTAGCCAAACCCCCCAGGGGAAGCCCACTAGGAGCAGTTCCAGCAGGGAGAGGGTGTTCTAGTGTCTTCCATTTACATTCCCTGGATAGAACCTGGGCCTCCATGGTAGCATCCAATTATAATTTTCTATCGCCTTATTTAAGCTACAAAGGGACAAGCCTTTCCCTTATGTTTTTAGAAATAGACAATGCCAGGAAGCATGATTTCTCAATAAAACCCTTTAAACAGCTCAGCAGATATTCTTTTTTCTTGCCTATTTTCACAGCTAGGCAGTCCAGCTCCGGGAAGGGACACATGGACAGTGCCTGTTAGATAACTTTCTGCGTTCCTCTGAGAAGGGAAATTATTCCCTGGCCTGTCGGGGGTGGGGTGGGGGGGCAGGTCTCATGTGGGGGATTTACCACAGGAGCTCTAATACGGCATTTGATAAATATTGATAGAATTAAATTATTAATTTTTTCATGATCTTGTTCCTTCGGCTTCTCAGCTTACCACAGTACACAGCTCAGGGGCCTAAAAAAGATGTTTATTAAATAAAATTGGGGTTGTCTCTTCAAAAGAGCTGATGAAATTAATACTTGGAATTTACGTTTCTCCATCTGATTTTTTGAGAGAGAGGGCATGATCTATTTTTCACAATTTGGATCATATATTCTGACTTTATTGTGATTTGTGTTTCAGCCTAAGCAAAAAATAACCCATTCATTCCTCTCCAGATCCAGTTCCCCCAGAATCCAATGGCATGTCTCAGGGCTTCTACCCCTCCCCTGGAGAGCCACATTTTCTTGCCAAACTATCTAGATATGTTTTGATAAACTTTTGACCTTTTAATTTTGTCCTGGGTTCCCATAGCTGATATAACTATGTGTGAACATAGACTCCAAATCTTAATGTGGTCTGGAGATCAGGTGAAACAAGACAACTGCTATCTCATAGGCCATAACTCTAGGGAGAGCTAGGTTATTTTTAAACGGAAAACATTCTCAGTGGATTCGCTATTAGACAGAATTTAATATCATTGCTTTGGACAAGTGCTCTGGATTGGGTCAGTGTTTGTCCCCCTCTAATTACCAGAATTCCTGAGAACATCATCCTGGGCTCTGTAGGAAAGAGTCATTTCCCCAAAGCTTAACTTTTAATATAGTGCCACCTGAACCTGTTTCTTCCTCTGATTCTACTGTTGAAATGAGACCGTTGAGGTGACTAGATGTGGACGAGGCTATCAAATTCTGTCAGCAATTTACTGCTCTCTGATGATCTTTGAAACTCTCACCTGATGCTTTGAGAGAAGAGAATCCCATTTATTCCCTTCCCAATAGATCGTGGATTTAAAAATCAATTTTCACTGTTCGGGGAAATGTGGGTCTTTCCCTCTCTATAAATAGTGATAATAATCACAATGTTGGCCAGGTGATTCATGGAGTACAACTTGAAGTGGAAGAGAGAGAAGAACCCCTATAATAATATCAAATTTAAATCTTAATACAATCTGAAAATGAATAACAAATTCTTGCAGAATTTCTGGGACAGCTGCCACAATAATCAAGAGTAGATTTTTGGTTATAAAGTTTTAAGGTATAGATGGCAATTGATATATGGCGTGGGGGTGGGAGGCACTTATTTTGCTGTTTTAAAAATCTGAACCCACCTGCTCTCTCAAAGTCAATGTTATCCACTTGGGTGGAAGAGACTGGTTTTTTTCTATAGTTTTCTGAACTATCAAAATTACATGAGCTTTATGAAGATTATTTTAACTTGCAAAATTATCAGAACTACATAGCTTCAGACATCGCTTGATACAATATCACCTGAATTAGTTCCCCTGGAAGAATGTAGGAATTGACACCGTGGCACCTCCTGCTTAAACTCTAACATCTCATGCTAAAATAATCTCATCCATTTTAATTGATTTTGGTTATGCCAAATTTATGATGGTTAGGGCTCTTTATTTAGTTAGCACTTCACTTAAAATTACCCGCAAGGAACATAAAGGAGATACTACAGTTTTGAACTGTCTCATGGTGCTGAAAAGCTCAGACCTTTATTTCATGG